CATCATGGACACCGTACCTATGTCTCTTCATTGGAGGCTCAACATCCATCTTTATTGGATTCGACATCTTTCAGCCCTGGTCCCTGAAGGGCTTCATCACAAGTTACTTTGGCCTCGCCTGGTTCTTCTTTATGTTCATTTTCTGGAAAGTCTTCAAGCGAACCAAGTTTGTTATACCTGCCACCGTCGACATCTTCGCCGATGGCAAGAAACAGGCCGTGGACGAGGAGTGTCGCTTCTGGGAAGAAGGGTTTGGCGATGAAGCTGAGAGGGCTGCGTTGGCTAAGAAACATGTTGTTGTCAGAACTTGGGCTCGGTTCTGGGGTGGCTAATAGTTCTGCCGTAGGGGATCACAGGTAACTCAGAAATTGCAGCTTGACCGCTTTGCAATGATACGAGGTGCTTGGTTGAGGGGATCTATTGTTTATCCAATATTCCTTAAACCAGAACAGTTCTGTGGCTCGTCACAGTCGTAATACAATTCCATGGAATAATTTAGCTTCCGAAAAATTATACCTCGTTGACAAAAGTGGTGATTTTGATTCCTACTATTTAGGTTTGGAGAAACCATTCTTCAACTGCCAGTCATCCAAGACAATAGCACATGATCACGGGAAAATTGGCGGCTATAATTTGCCTTGAAAATCGGGCGTTCTAAGAAGTATATGATCTACACAAAGAGCCAACACATTGAGTATTTCCAAGTTACTGTATCTTTTGAATTGACTTGATCAATGTCATTAGGACCTTGATAAAGGTCATACAAACTAGAGTTACAACGAAAGCCGTGGCTGAGAGCGGTGGAGCTGAGGCTTCTTTTGACCTCATAACGTTGTAACAGAAAACTTAGATTACCAGACAAAACTTGGTTGATCTATAACACGTTTCCTACATTCACATGAACTGACCGCCTGCTCGTGTAAGCACGGATCCCTTCCTCTCCCAACTCACGACCGATACCAGACTGCTTGACTCCTCCAAAGGGTATACGGAAGTCAGAGTCATTGCTACTGTTAATCCACACCACTACAGATGTTAGTAACGGACTCTAAACTCAGTGGGTTTGTAACTTACTTCCTGCCTCGATCTTATTCGCGAGGAGATGTGCTCGAGTGATATCTTGCGTGAAGATGGCCGCACCAAGGCCATAAATGGTGTTGTTAGCCCGGCGCACTGCTTCATCTTCTGTTTTGAATTGGCTAATAATAGCAACAGGGCCGAAGATCTCCTCGCGGTAGATCTGCATATCATCCGAAGCATCGATGAAGATAGTGGGCTCGATGTAGAAGCCCTTGCCATTGACTGTAGTTCGCTGGCCGCCAAGAGCAACAGTGGCCCCTTCAGCTTTCCCGCTCTCGATGAACGATAGCACCCTTTCGTATTGTGCCTTTGAGACCTGCGGTCCCTGGAAGGTATCGCTGTCAAAGGGGTTGCCAATCTTGCAGGATTTGACTCTCTCCCTGAACAGCTCAATGAATTGCGGGTACACCTTTTCATGTACTAAGATGCGGCTTGTTGCAGTACAGATCTGGCCTTGGTTGGCCATGATACCATAGTGACTCCATTTAACAGCTTGGTCTAAATCTGCATCCTCGAAAACGAGCAGTGGAGACTTTCCTCCGGACTCAATAGTGATCTCTTTGAGATTGCTCGCCGCAAGTCTTGCTACCTCGCGTCCAGTGGCTGTGGATCCAGTGAAGGCAATCTTGTCAACATCCATGTGAGCTGCTAATGCTACTCCGGCCTTCTTTCCAAACCCGTTAACGATGTTGATCACGCCAGGCGGAAATCCTGCTTTCTTAATGATGTCTGCAAAGAATAGGATGGACAGAGGTGTCTGCTCTGCTGGCTTGAGTACCACACAGTTCCCGGCGGCAAGGGCTGGGGCGATCTTCCAGCCAGCCATTCCCAAAGGATAGTTCCAAGGAATGATCTGCCCGCAAACGCCTATCGGACCAACAGTGGTATAGGCAAACTTATTCTCAGTTGTACTTATCACTGCGGTCGTTAGTCAAGGGTTCATAAGATCCAAGCTGTGCAACTTGGAGACTTACCTTGTCCGTATTGTTTATCAGCGAAACCAGCATAATATCGCAGCACCCCTGTCAGCTCACCAACGTCTCCTTGTGCAGACGAAAACCGTTTGCCGTTATTCCAGGTATCAATAGTAGCGAGTTCGTTTGTGGCAGCATCAACAAGATCAGCGAGCTTGCGCATCATTTCGCCTCGCTCGCTTCCAGACAGATGCGACCAAGAACCCTTGAGTGCTGCCCGTGCAGCTTTGACAGCATCGTCGATGTCTTTCTCGCCGCCAGCATGGACTTTGACAATCTCATTTTCGTCACTGAAGTCTTTTAGTAAATTGGCTTTTAAGAGTACCCAACAATTAGACTTACATCGGACTCATAACCGATATGAATTCCTCTGCTCTTGATTGCCGCCATTCATTGTTGATGAAGAGGCCCAAAGGTTGGTTGTAAGTAACTCCATTCGGAGCGGTTAGTTGCTGATAAAGTTCGCTGCTCATGATGACTTCTATTTTTGAGATCTGATCTCAGTATCATGGATAGTATCAGTCAGTAAGATTATATCACGATATGCTCTGGTCTCCTAGTGCTCCAGGCTCACAACATGTTGCTTTCCAGATCAGGCAAGTTTCTGGTAGTGGACCTTGGATGTCTGTACTAGTATCAAACAGGCAACTTTGAGACAGCTACCAGAAACAGTAAAGATTGAAGCTTGTGGTGCGATAAGTATCGATCCACCCTTATCAGTCCCATGATAACACCGATACTAAGGGCAGCATCAGGCACTCTCGGAGTCTTGTCCGGTCACATACAAACTATCCTGGTAGTAGCCGTCCACAAAAACATTATTGTGTTATCTGCATTTCCTTGGCTTTCTTTTAGTTTTCAAACTGCTGTTATCTCTTTGGCATAATGTGCTCAGCTTCTTTTCCCCCGCCAAAAGGGATGTCTTCCTTTTGGAGGACCGAACCAGGCGATCTCGATAATTATCGGTCAACTGCGGAGCTTCCACCGCGTGTAGATGTTGCCATAGTTGGTGCCGGATACTCTGCAGCAGCAATTCTCACACATATCCTGGCAACAACTTCGGCTGAGGATAGACCCTCAATTCTTGTTCTCGAAGCTCGGCAGCTGTGCTCAGGTGCGACTGGACGAAATGGTGAGCGAAAAAGCCCGAGAAACTATTGTGCCAGTACTGACAAGCGAAGGTGGTCACCTCAAGCCAGACTCATACAACGCGATTTCTGCGTACGCGTCTGAGTATGGGATGGAAGCTGCCGCAGAAGTTGCGTCATTCGAAGCAGAAAATATGAAAGCTGTTAGTGAATACATCCAAAAAAACAAAGTTGATTGCGACTTCGTCCTTACGAGGGCGGTCGATGTGCAACTTTCCACTGGCCATCAACGTCGAGTTAAGGAAGGTTACGACAAGCTTATCGCCGCGGGACTTGAACCGACAAACAACACGCTCAGCGTTGAGGGAACGGATGCCGAGATGGTAGGTGTCTGATATCTCTGTCTTTTCAATGCTAACATCATGTCTTCAGATGTCTGGTGTCAAGGGCGCAAAGGGGTGCTTTACTTACACAGCAGGACACCTTTGGCCCTACAAACTTATCCACCATATGTTTTCAGAAGCAATCAGTCAAGGAATCAACTTGCAAACTAATACGCCGGTTCTCTCTGTCTCTGAGGTTCAAGGTGCCGCTGGGCAATGGATCTTGAGTACTAGTAGGGGCGAAGTCAGAGCGCGAAAGGTCGTGTTCGCAACCAATGCCTACACTGGTTCATTACTCCCAGAATACAAAAGCAAAATCATTCCATATCGCGCTATATGCAGTCGGATCAAAACCCCGGGGCCACATCCTCTACTCAATAATACCTACGCTCTTCGATTCTCGGACTGGAACTTTGACTATTTGATCCCTCGACTAGACGGAAGTATCATAGTTGGTGGAGCTCGAGATGCGTATATCAGGTCTGTTAACTCGTGGTATGGGAACGTCGACGATACTCAGGTTATCGACGAAGCCCGTTCATACTTTGACGCTTACATGCAAAATCATTTTCATGGATGGGAGGACAGCGGGGCATATGTTGACGACATCTGGACTGGAAGTAAGTCCAATAACCCTATCATCTGAGATGCTGACAGTCGCTGACGTCGACGAGTCATGGGGTACTCTTCCGACCGGCTCCCTCGAGTAGGACCTATACCTGGTCGACCAGGCTTGTTTATAATGGGAGGCTTCACTGGCCATGGTATGCCACAAATCTTCTTGTGCGGACAAGCAATGGCGAAGTTTCTCCTTGACGACGCTTCATTCAAGGAGACAGGTTTGCCCCGATTATTTGAAGAGACACAGGCTCGTTTGAGAGACCCGAGAGACAGAGTTTTGGAGTTATATGCTTCTGTTCTCAATCCTTCAAAATTATAATAGCTTCAACCAAGGGACTAGGAAAAGTCTCGCCATTAGGTTTCTAAGTTATTTTTACTTTAATTGATATAGTGGCCATCGAGAACCTAACATGTCTTCGCTTTTAGGTTGTGATATCTATTGTTGTTACTGTTTTGTTTTGTTTCTAGTGACGTCAAATCTCATAACAGCGACCGCGGGCGCTAAACACTTTAAACTCGAGCAAGGACACACCACGTAGCCATTATGAGCAATCATATTGCCGTGAGCTGTCAGCCTTGGAGCCTTGCCTTTTGAATTGTGGCTGGTTGGCTGGTTGTTAATCCCCTGCTCATGAAGTCACGTGTAGTTCGCCGCAGGTCGCCCTCACAATAAGGCAGACTTCCCCTCTCAGCCCTATTTTCGATCCTCAAAGTTGATCTTCTCTTCTTTTTTAGTTCTTATGCTAATTTGATGGCTGGGTGTATCGTCGTCTCTGCTTGTTGCACTGTCGCTTCACGTCCAGTAAAAGTATCCCGATCTCCGACCACAGTCTAGTGTCCAACAAAAAGCCCAAATGTCGACTGCAAATGGCAGACCGCGACGTCCCGTCTCACGAGCCGATTTCCCGCTTGCCATCATTTGCGCCCTCTCTTTCGAAGCCGATGCGATAGAAGCCCTTTTTGATGAACATTGGGACTGTAACGTGTACAGCAAAGCTCCCGGCGACCCCAATTCCTACTCGACAGGACGCATCGGCCATCATAATGTCGTGCTCGCCTACATGCCCGAAGCAGGAAAGGCCAGCGGAGCCGCAGTCGCGACCAATTGTCGCGTGAGCTTCCCCCATGTCAAATTGGCCATCGTCGTCGGGATCTGTGGAGTAATCCCTTTCACTCCTGGTCCTCGAGATGCACACCATGAGATTATACTGGGCGATGTTATCGTCAGCCAGAGCGTTGTCCAGCATGACTTGGGGCGGCAATATCCTGACAGCTTCGAGTACAAAGACGCCAATGAAGAGGCTCTTGGGAGACCTAACATTGAGATTCGCTCCCTGCTATCGAAACTGAAGACCCTTCGAGCACGAAGAGCATTCGAATCCGACATGAGAGGTTTCCTCGCACTCTTGCAGGAAGATCTAGAACTGGCAGCACATTACCCTGGAACCGGGACAGATCGCCTATACGAGGCTACATACCGACATATCGACAAAGACATGCCGTGCGATAAGTGCGGCTGTAATGGAAAGCTTGTGCCGCGGGAGCGGCTGAGACAAGAAGTGCCAGAGCCTAAAGTACATTTCGGAAGAATTGCCTCAGGCGACACGGTCATGAAATCTGGAGAGGATCGCGATGATATCGCAAGAAAACTTGGCGTCATTGCGTTCGAGATGGAGAGTGCTGGCGTTTGGGACAGCCTACCATGCTTAGTTGTTAAGGGTGCTTGCGACTATGCCGATAGCCATAAAGCCAAAGCTACCCAGAACTACGCTGCAGCGACTGCCGCTGCTTGCACCAAAGCTGTATTGAGCCATTGGGTGGTTCCTACTGGTCATGGTCAGTAGGTTATCTACCGCTTCTTGAACCGTGTTGACCATGAGATAGATTCAACTAGAGAGGGGATCTTGCCTCAGTGTACGTACTTTATGCCCACTACATGAGAATGACGTAGCTAATAAAAGGTTCGACAGTCTTGGTTCCTTTCTTGCCAAATGAAGACTTTGTTGGCCGACAAGACATCCTTGACGACTTGCGTCAACAACTAAGTCCTGAGAAGTCCTACGCTGTCGCGGCCCTCTTTGGCTTAGGATGGGTTGGGTAAGCGAACCCGTGTCAAGCAAAGAGGAGAAAGGAACTGACCATACAGAAAAACACAAATTGCTCTGGCCTACGTACACCAACTACACGCTCAGAGTCCAGACCATTCCGTCTTTTGGGTCTACGCGAGCAACGAAGAGCGCCTGCGGCAGTCATATACCACAATTATGCAGCAGCTCAACGTTCCTGGCGACCGAGATAACTCAGATGTGCTCAAGCTGATGAAACAATGGTTAGAAGCCGAGCATCACAAACCGTGGCTTATGGTCATCGACAACGTCGACGATCTCGACCTTTTCTATGCGACTGGTGGCCTCAGCCAATATCTTCCAGTGTGCGCTCAAGGCAAGTTGCTTATCACCACGAGAAACCGGCAAGTAGCTATACGAGCTACCAAAGGTCGGGGCTTTATTGAAGTATCGCACATGACCGCGAATGAAGCACGGGAACTTCTTTGTGCGCACCTTGGATGCGTGAAACCCGATGTTGCTGATCTGTCGGCATTGGCTTTGAAACTCGAGTATCTTCCTCTGATACTCGTGCACGCCGCCGCATTCATTCAAGAGAATTGTATTCCGGTCAAAGAGTATTTGAACCTACTGGATAATGACGAAAATCTGGTAGAATTGCTTAACGAAGACTTTGAGACAAGCGGAAGGCATCCGGACTCAATGCGAGCTGTTGCCAAAACCTGGGCCATCTCGTTCCATCAGATTCAACGTCAGAATAAACTAGCGAGCGATTTGCTGGCCTTGATATCAGTGTTCAGCCATCAGCGTATCCCAGCAAGCGTCTTACTTGCCTATTCATCGTCTATTGAAAACCGAGAAAGGCCTCTGGAGCATCTCAAAGCCATGGGGCTTTTGAAAGCTTTCTCTCTTGTGGCGAGTGCACAAGTCGACAACATCTCCATGCACCCACTGATAAAATTAGTAATACGCAGATGGCTAATTCAGGAAGGCGAAGTGGAAAACTTCTTGCGTAAAGCAATCATGGCAATGCGGAGTGTATCTCGTTCGATGCTCGACGGCGTATTGATGCAAGGTCGGCACTGCCTCCCACATTTCCCCCTTTTCGTATCTATGCTCCGTACCTCTGCCGGTTCTAGCCCTGGCGATAGCGGATTACTGGTATCAGCGCATGCAGCTTATGCTAGTGGCATCTCCCATGATATATCACAACTTAAGGATACACTCAACCTGCTTTCCCTTGCCGTTTTGGGTGCTCCCCGAGATCGGATGTTTCCTTTTCACACAGTTCAAGATCCCGAAGCCGGCTTAGATCGAGGATCGAAATTAGAAAATCACAATCTGAGCACCTACGATAATGAAAGAATACCTATCGGTAATTGTGCTTCTCAATTGGAAAGTTGGACCAAACTCATGAATAGTTACGAGATCGAGTTTATTTCTTGGCAAGGATTTTTTCGCTATCTATGGAGCAGTTATAGGTTATCAGGGAGATGGGAAGAATGTATTGCTTTCTTTAGTACCTACTGGATCGTATTAGATTAAAGACATCTTGTCACACCTACAAGGGCAGTTAAATAAGTTACCATTTAGGTTCTTGTAGTATTAAGTTTATATTATAGTAATTAATTAAATATTACAATATGACATATAAGTGATCAGCTAGATATATTCCTTATAGTTGAGACTTATAGCTAAGAGCTTAAATTAGTGAGAGAGGCTTAGAAATATAAAAGACCTCTCTATAGTTATTAACTCCAACGCCATGGTTGGAAGCGCCCAGGCCCATAGTAAGTATCTGCCTGTACTAATCGAGAGTAAGTGGTTAATTCCCTATTCACGCTAATTTGGCTCTTATCTTTGTATGAGGGCTAAAGCCTTTAAAACCTAACAACTTTCTACTGCATTGCCTTAACTATTCTCGTGCATGTACTAAAGAAAAGGGGGAAGCTAAGAGAAAACAGAGCCTTTATAAGTATTTTAATATTAATAAATTATATATTTCCATAAGTAAGGATAGTTTGAAGGTGAAGAGCAACAACAAGGAAAAGACTGCAAGAGGACAATAACTTCCAACAGCCTCAATTGCAAGCTAAGTGCAGACAGCCACAGAGGTTCAATTAAGACAGGGTCTTCGTCATTAGATAGGTAATCAAGTGATCAGTTTAATGATATCAAATACGAGGACAAAAAGTGTAAAATTCAGTCTGAAAAAGCATGATGAAACTAAGATGTCGAGGGGAATCCGTCCCTTTATGTCTGTCACCACAGACAGCCTTCTGACCCCGCCAACGAGGCTAGACCTCTTACCCTGGAATGCTCATCGTAACCGTCACAGTAAATTAGTCGGCAAAAGCCAAATTGACCTCTACCAATTAAATATACATATAAGGGCATGTAACTAATCGACCTTATATCTAAGAACTGCAGATAAAGTGATATCAGTAAAGAAGCAGTAGTTTAAACTGGGGATTAATATATTATAATAAAAAGATTAAATTATTAAACGTTTTATTAATTAAGTTATTTAAATTAAAAAAAAGTTAAAGTATTAATACTTTTATTAAAGTAAGTTATATTTAAGTAATTAAAAGCTTTAATAGCTAAAAGAATATAAGCTAATTAAGTTTATTAAATTAATATATAAATAATTGTTTTTAAATATAATATTAAGTATAGGGTATATAGTATAAGCTTAACTGGAATTGGTGGTAATTAGTGGATTTGATGTAAGTTTAATAATGTTTATAAGCGCCAAGCATAAGTGAAGCCGACGATCAACTATATCCAGACATTTCAACTGAACTCTCAGTCTATTAAAGATTCAGGTAAAAGATAGCCGAAAGATAAGTGACGTGTAGAGTATCATCAAGTCCACTTGAACAAGGAACGCACTGACGATCCACGTGGGTGATGGATCTCAAAAATTGATCAGTTCCACCAGCACTGTTACCCCGATCCACTAATGACTAACATACCGCCGACGATCTGCCCCTACTGACTCTGAGGCTCTGCATTTTTATCGCCGAGTGCTACTATAGGCAGGGCTACGCATGAGTTGAGTCATGTATTGGGATCTACCAGAGATGATCATATGGACTGTGAAACGAACTGCGAAGTATACATCTTTTCTGGGCATTAATTGCTAATGTTATATCCGGTTTCTTGGAATGTTGAAAGAGGAGGAATTATTCCGAGACCTCGGTTGGACAGGCGCAAATTGGAGCTCGTCTCAGAATGTCTCCATTTCGGGGGAACATTTCGTCCCAACAATATTTTATTTCCGTGACCCCTTTCAATCTAATGGAGATCATGCACATTCGGCCCGGAGCTCGGAGCAGACCTAACGACGGAAATTCTACGGTAGAATATGTCAAGAAGATGTCTCTGTCCCAACACTAAATAAGTCTTGGGAAAGTGTCCGCAAACTTTGACAACGAATGAGCTTGTTCGATATTAACTTCATCTAACGTTTCAGCGAAGAACAACGGTTCATTCCGCCATCAAAAGACCCAAGTGGCGTTGACAAAAGTGGAAGCCCAGCAACTTGGCGCAGCGGAACTTGTTCTCAAAGGATTCCCAAGTACCGAAATTTGATACGCTGCCATCTCCTGTGGCGCTGATTCAGTGGCGTCCCCCCTGAGTCGAGTGCCATTTTAGCGGGCGAAAAACCTTTAGCGCAAGAGTCTGTGATGACATTTCGTTGAGGCGCGAGAGGGGAAAACCGAGGCTGGGTGACATAAAGGGAAATGTGGCCCGGAGCCATTGGTAACTCTCCCGTATTGGAGCTCGGTTGCAGAATTAAAGTGCGGAAATACAATGCGTCTGCACGGTGATGTGATGCTTATCCCTGTAGATCATGCGTACCGAGAGACGATCATACCATGCATCTGGGACCAGACCCTCGGGTAACGGCAGGGATATGGTTAAGCTATTCGACCAGCGTATTCTCCCATCAAATCAGGTAGTCCAATTGTTCACTAGAGCTCAAGTGTCGAAGCGAAGGTCAAAGCGCAGATGCGATTCATCCAGAGACTTGGCTAGAGAATGTCGTTTCGCCACGCCACGCCAGACCGTTTCTGGAGTCTCGTCCCGGGGCACTAATATCTCCAGCTTCACGCTTACCTCGACCTGCCAGGAGCACCCAAAACGTGGTTCTGGTAGTGTCTGCATGTATAAACCCCTGGATCCCCAGATTCCATCCCTCTTCCCTCTCTTCCCCCGGCCGATCCTTCATTCGTCTTTGCTTTTTTTGTATCACTCCTTTGTACATCATGTCGGCGACTACGAGTGACATCAAGATCGCTTCCATTGCCATGGGGTTCACCCTTGGCTTTGGCCTGCTTACTGTCTGGGAGGCGTGGAAGCAGACTCGACGGAACCGAAACCCGCTACGAAGTAGTTACATTTACATGCTCTGGGGAGAGATTCTAGCAAATATTATCATCGCTATCATCGGATGGATCTTCTTGGATGGAATCATCGGTCCGACGTAAGACAGCCACTCAGCCAGTGTCGAAAGTGGCGTGCTAACAGTGTATAGTGTACCCGTGTTGTTCTTTATTCTTTTCTTTTGGGTCTTTGAGGTCCAGCTTCTTATGCAGATTATCGTCAACCGAATCTCCATCATCGCCGAACATCGGTCTACTATCTTTAAGCTGAAATGGGGAACCGCCATTACCATCACTCTTATTAACATTGCCGTCTTTGTTATTTGGATTCCTGCTCATACTGTTCCTCCCGCCAGTCAAACGTAAGTCATTGTCGAAGGCTTGACTTTTCTTTACTGACCAATGCAGCTTCGTACGCATCAATGAAGTCTGGGATCGTATCTCCAAGGTCCTCATCCTTCTCGTCGATGCTGGTCTCAACTGGTACTTCCTTCGAACTGTCAAGAAACGACTCGTCGAGCAGCATCGCTTGAAGAAGTATGAGCCTCTTGTTGGCTTCAACGCTAGGCTTATGGTCATTTCGATCCTCATGGACGTAAGTATCTCGACTCTGCCCATCTAAAGGCCCGTGCTGACTCTACCAGGGTATGCTCATTGGTCTCATGTCGCTTCCCAACCAGGTCGTCTACATCCAATTCCACCCCGTCGCATACATGGTCAAGCTCAACATCGAAATGTCCATGGCCAAACTCATCACTCGCCTCGCAAAGGGTGAGAACGCCGACGACTACTACCCATCCATGTCGCACTCTGGCCACCACCAAAGCAACAACCAGCGGACCAACGACGCACCATGGACTCAGGGTAACAACGTCCAATTGACACATCGATCAAAGGTTGTCGCTGGTGATTCTGATGAGGACTTGTCTGGTACCATGGGTAGACACAACGGCGGACCTGGTATTCATCGTCGAACAGAGTTTGAGGTCACAGTCGAGACGAAGCCCCAGAAGAATCCTTTCAGGGAGGGGACAGACTCGGGAGATGAGCTACCTTTGACTTCAAATACCGGACATCCTAAGCAGATGATGGTCGAGGAGGTTGGCCGCAACCCTTCCATGTCTAGCAGTAGACGATCCTGAGATCTTCACATACATTCTTTAGCTATATACCATATACATAATACCTAATACCCCACCCAACCTGACAACGAATCGTAAAATTCGATGACGTAAAATGTTGTTGGTGTTCTGAGGTTGTTTAGATATGAAACAGGTGTACGTTTGGTCTCGAGTAAGACCGTTTAATGTACATGTACTAAGGATGAAAAATGTAAAGCGTTGGGCCTAGGCTCGAGGTCTAGTGTCAGGCCACTATGGGGATGACTGCAACCTATAAGGTTAAGCTTTAGGCTGCAAACACAAGTGATGAACGAGAACGCGGTAAGCTGTCAGGCCACAGCATTTTCAAAGATTAATTAATTGATTGGTGGATAGAGTTCATCAAATCTCGACGTGATTTCTCGACGTGATTTCTCGACGTGATTTGTCGGGCTAACTCACTATGAAGTCAAAATCTGCCCAAGCTTTGGAACAAAAATGTAGACATCAACAAACATAAGTTTC